CTTTGGAAATGGAGAGCACATACATCTCCAAATAGGGGAGAACAAATGATGAGGAAGAGCAAAGCGGCCCTTAGACAAACACTGAGAGAGATTCCCTGCGCTGGGGAAGCAATGGGAGCCAGATACCAGGCGGAGAGGGAGTCGACGTGCTGGAGACCAAGATGCTGGCAGGTGCCTTGGAGCAGTCGCCAGAAGCGTGTGACCCTGGAGGGTCTCTGGTTGGGAACAAAAGACAGCCTAGCAGTGATCAGTGCGGCCGAATGGCCAAGGACCCCCGGCTATGTTGTTGGAGGTCTCAGAGGAGTCCGGCGTGGATAAACGATGCAGAAGGAGCACGCTGCCCGGCCCCCTAAGGCCACACGTTCTGTTAACCTTCCCCATCCCCTGAAATTCGATGCAACACCAATGACGTGAAATGCCCGGTAGAAGAGAGTTGTAAGAAAATTGAGTGGTAGTTGTAGTTCTTGCATGTCTGAGTTTGTAAGCAGAGATTCACCCCCGCTCGCTGAGCCAGGCATCTCTCCAGGGCAGACCCCTGCCCTCCTGTCCTCTTCTCACCACCCCCTCCTTACCCCAAGGCCCTGGGCCACCTAGGAAGATCCTTCAGCATCCCTGGGTGCTGCATATCCACAGGGTGCTGCACAGCAGGGCCTGTACCCTTGGAATCTTGGCTTCAATATGCCCCACAAAAGGACAGCAGGTCCAGTGACAAGTCCATCCCAGCCTGACTCACGGGCGGAGGAAAATGCTGGGGGTGCAGGAAAGGCTAAACCAGCGAAGGACACCCCCCACCCCACCCCAGTCTCTGGGACCACCATGTCTGATGTTTACTTGGCCATCCTAGGTGCTGGACTCTGCCGGACCCAATACCCATCCCCATCTGACAGCACCCACGGCCGCCTGGAGTGTCCTTTGGCCCCCCTCTGGTAGTTCTGTCTTTTGTTTCCCTCGGAGATCCCCTGGGCTGCAGGTTCCCCCTCCTCGCCCTGCCTCCTCCCTGACTTGCACAGCAGGCTCAACAGATGTCACTCAGCCAACCTCCAAGAGGCAAGTGACAGGAGGCCCCAACATGGCGACTTTTTAAGCTTTTAAAACCTTGGCAGCATGGCAGGATGGAAAATAGTTTGAGAGAGTTTGGAGCAGGTGTCCTCTTGCCCCCACCAAAACATGCGCTCGTCTTTGCACAACATTGTTTGAGCATCTATGACTCTCTGTTCTGGGGAGTGGGGGTCGGCCGTGAGAAGGATCTGTGAGGCCCCTGCTCCCGGGAAACGCACAGCAGGGGAGACCCGGAGACGATCTGCTCAGATCCCCCTCCAAGGAAGGACTCACTGCCCGGCTGAGGGGACAGCCTCCAGCCACGAGTGTGTCCAAAGTCCCCTTCAGCTTCCAAGATGAGGTCATGCTCTCCTTGGGGCAGCCCCTGGTCAGTGACCAGCAAGGTGACCGGCCAAGGGCCAAGCCCTTCCCCTCATTGAGGGCAAGCTCTGCTCCAGAGCCCTCCGCGGGCTGCAGACTCGGGGCTCCATGTTCTGACGGCCCCACCTGCCCAAGCTCGCTTCCGCCCCTTCCTTTTACAGGTGTTACCACCACCACCTCCCCCCCCCGTCACCATAACCCTTCAACCTCAGCATCTGCTTCCTGGGGAACCCGCCCCTACAAAACCAGGGCGCCTGCAAGTCATGACATGTGCTGTGGAGAGAGAAGATGACAGAGGTGACCCAGCAGGAGAGACCAAGGTCACTACATGTCAAGTGCACCCACCATCTCTGGGAAGGTGACACTGGGGTGGAGACATGAGGGAGGATGAGGAGTCAGCCATGCTCAGGGGACCAGGGAAAGGGAGCCTGGTGGCGTGGGAAGGAAGACGTGTGTCAGAGGTAGAGAAAGGGCTGACTGGCTGGAGCACAGTGGTGAGGGAGGGGAGCAAGGGGGTGAGGGAGGGGAGCACAGGGCTGAGGGAGGGGAGCACAGGGGTGAGGGAGGGGAGCAAGGGGGTGAGGGAGGGGAGCACAGGGGTGAGGGAGGGGAGCACGGGGGGTGACGGAGGGGAGCAAGGGAGTGAGGGAGGGGAGCAAGGGAGTGAGGGAGGGGAGCACAGCTGAGGGAGAGGAGCACGGGGGTGAGGGAGGGGAGC